CCTGGCTCCCAAATCCATCCCCAACCCCGTGCCTGGCTCCCAAATCCGTCCCCAACCCTGTGCCTGGCTCCCAAATCCATCCCCAGTGTCTCTCCCTCAGCCACCAACAGCGTGGTGGCTTCTGCAACAAGTTGATGCCCTTCTCTTGTTTGATGTGTTGCTGCATATCCATGGTACTGGGGGTGCTCACCCCCTGCAGAGACCCAAAAGCCTGGGGCAGACATTTCCCATGGGCCAGAAGATCCCTGGATGTCCACGTGGGGCTGTCCCGGAGCTCCTCAGGCTTCGTGGCGGGATTTGGGACGGTGCTGGTGACGGGTGACAACGTACTGTACGTGTCCCCCCGTGTGTGTGTCCAGCAGCACCTCCAGGGAGAAGACCACGGCCACTGATGACATCAAGACAGTCCAGACGTCCCTCTTCAGCCTGGTGAAGGATTTCTTCTGCCGGAGCTTCTCCGGGGAGGAGATGCAGAGCTTGCTGAGCTACCTGGCTGGGGCCCAGGACGAGCAGCAGGTACGTCACCGAGCCACCCCCCTCCCCAAACTCCTCAGCGTGCCGTGGGCTGGGTCAGCACAAGCCACTGAGGTCGTGGTGGGGCACTTGGAGGGCAGTGGACAACCAGCCCCGTGTCCTGCAGGTGTGTGGGGCGCTGGAGGTGATCCACAGCCTGCTGAAGGGCTCACCTGCCCAGGAGCAGCTCTTCGCCTTCCTCTTCGAGCCGGGCCAGGTGGAGGTTCTCTTCTCACTGCTGGTGCAGAAGAAGTTCTCGGATGAAGTGCGGGAGAGGGTCTTCAAGGTAAGGCGGGTCCCCAGCGCCGACCTCTCGCCGTCCCCGGCGAGGTGACACCTCTCACTGTCCCTCCAGATCCTCTACAAGATGCTGAAGTACGAGAAGGTCCCTGAGCGCAGCAAGAACCGCCTGAAGCTGAAGGACATCGGGTACCACGGGCTCATCTCCTACCTCAGTGATGTCCCCAGCTCCATGCTGCTCTTCCGCTGCCTCTCCGAGCAGGTCCTCGGGGCAGGTACCGTGTCCCAAAAACATACATTCCAAAACACGTGCCGTGGGATCACCGCTGATGGCTTCCCACGAGGCTCAGCCGGTCTTGGGACTGGGGTCTTTGGTGGCTTTTGGGGACAGCAGGTGTCCCACCACTGTGCTGTCTCTCCTTGCCCACAGACCCTCCCAACTACAAGGACCTGGTGGCCGTGGTTTACCTGTCCCACCGGGCCGAGCTGACCGTCCGGCTCGACCTCTGCCGCAAGGTGAGGGGACAGAGGTGTCACCCCGGGGCTGGGCTCCCTGGGCACCCAGCCACGCCCAGACGTGGTGGTGACGTGGACATGGATGTGCCACCATGGAAGTGGTGCAGCCCCAGCACCTCGTGGCGGTGATGGAGGATCTTGGGTGCTCAGGAGCGAGGATCCAAGCGTCAACCCACCAGGAGCTGGGGCAGCAGCATCAGGTCCCCTCCCTTTCCCTTCTCCTGCAGCTCTTCCACCTGATCTACGCCCAGCAGGACCTGGTGAGGCAGCTGGCCAGGCTGGCTGGCTGGCAGGACACCCTCACCAAGCTCTACGTCCGGGAGTCCTACGAGTCCCGCCAGCACAGCCTGAGCACCAGCGGGGGCTTCCCGGAGCTGCTCCGCCTCTCCGACCCCCCCGGCAAGGAGGGCACGAGCCCGCCGCCGGCCGAGCTCCAGGAGCTTGACGTCTTCCTCCCGCTGGGATACGAGGCCTCGGACCAGGAGCTCTCCGAGGGCTTCTCCGACCACTCCATCTCCCCGAGCGGCCGCACCAAGTCCTTCCACTCCTACAACTTCAAGTCTTTCGACTCCTCCGACCGGGCCAGTCGCTCGTCCTCCAACCCCGGCGACGGTCCCCCCTTCGACGGCGTCTACCACCCGCTGTCGCCCTTCTCCACCTCCCCCTTCGACCTGGGGCTCGACCTGGCCAGCACCAGCTCTGTGGCCACGGCCGAGAGCGGTGCCCAGACCCCCGGCAGCGGCCCTGGCACCCCGTCCCCCCTGGAGAGCTTCAAGCCCTTCCCGGGAATGCGGGCGCGCAAGAGCTCCAGCCTGTCTAACGTCCTGGATGAGAGCAGCTACCAGGACGTGCTGCCCAGCGACAACGTCTCCAACACCAGCAACCCCCAGGTGAGCCCCAAACCCTCGTACCCACCACCCCGGGGCGCTCTGGACACCGACCTCGCAGCTTGGGAATGAGAGGCTGGGAAGCAGTGTTGGGAAAAGGCCCTGGGGGGGTCCTGGTGGTGCCATTTGGCCCTGAGCCAGCTGTGCCCTGGCAGCCAGGAGGGACATCCCTGTCCTGGGGGCATCAGGGAGGGGATTGTCCCTGCTCTGCTCTGCCTTGGGGCGGCCTCACCTCAATATTGGGGCAGTTTGGGGGGACACAGTAGAAGGAAGAGATTGAGCCATTAGAGAGTGTCCAAAGGAGGCCACGAGGATGGGGAAGGGCCTTGATTTGAAGCCGTGTGAGGACACTGAGGGCACTTGGTGTGTTCAGCTGGAGAAGAGGAGGCTGAGGGGAGACCTCCCTGCAGTTCCAGCTTCCTGGGGAGAGGCAGAGGAGGGGCAGGGACTGAGCTCTGCTCTGGGGGGACCAGGGACAGCAGCCAGGGAATGGCTGGAGCTGTGTCAGGGCAGTGTCAGGTTGGATCTCAGGCAAAGGTTCTTCCCCCAGAGGCTGGTTGGGCACTGCCCAGGCTCCCCAGGGCAGTGGGCACAGCCCCAAGGCTGCCAGAGCTCCGGGAGGGTTTGGATGATCATTTGGGGCACATGGGGTGACTCCTGGGGATGTTCCTGTGCAGGGCCGGGAGTTGGGCTGGATGATCCTTGTGGGTCCCTTCCAACTCGGCGCATCCTGTGACTCTGTGACTCTCCCTCTCCCACGGCAGCAAACCCCCGAGGAGGAGCTGTGCAACCTCCTGACCAACATCATCTTCTCGGTGACGTGGCGCGGGGTGGAGGGCTGGGACGACACGGCCTGGCGGGAGCGGGGCCAGGTCTTCTCGGTGCTCACCAAGCTGGGCTCGGCCTGCGAGCTGGTGCGGCCCCCGGACGAGATCAAGCGCAGGTGAGTCCCTCCCGGCTCCGGAGGGGGGGTGGATCCCGAGGGAAAAGGCCACCCTCCGGAGCTGTGCTGTCCCCCAGCCTCCTGGAGATGATGCTGGAGTCGGCGCTGACCGACCTGAAGGAGTCGGGGCCGGGGGCCCTGCCCGGCCTCACCCACAACGCCCTCAAGCTGCTCCGGCTGCTCCAGGACTTCCTGTTCTCCGAGGGGCACAACAACCAGGCCCTGTGGAGCGAGAAGGTGGGTGGGAACGAGTGGGGGTTCCTGCTCCCAAACCTGAGCTCTGGACCCTACTGCTAATGCCTGATCACTGACGTTAGACCTGAGCCTAAACCTGCCCTGCCTGCAGCGCTTGAACTTAACCTTAGGATATAACTGAACCTTAATCCTAACCCTAACCTTAGGAAATAACCTTGGCCTTAATCCTGACCCTAACCTTAGGAAATAGCCTTGGCCTTAATCCTAACCCTAACCCCTGCTCCCTGATGGTAGACCTGAGTCTAAACACAGCCTTATCTACAGCCTTATCTAACCTTAGGAAATAACCTCAGCCTTAATCAGAAACTGTAAGTCAAAACCTAATCCTAACCATAGAAATAACCTCGGCCTTAATCCTAAATTTAAATCAAACCCTAACCCTAACCCTAACCCTAGAAAGTAACCTTAGCCTCAATCCTAAAT